ACCTTTTAAGTTGCATTACTGAAATAAATGAACTTTTGCACGATTTTCTAATTTTTTGAGTTTCACCTGTATATGATTAGCTGCCAAAAATCTTAGATATGCCCAAAAGTGTTCAGGAAGCAAAATCTTTGTTGTTCAGTGTTATTTTTGACACAATTGCTCCAGAAATATATTTGTTAAAGTAAGTGTTCCTGTTGTCCCTCTGGCATATCAAGAAAACATAATTACCTCCCCAAATGTCTGTAAACTGTTGAATTTCAAAACTCCACATGAAAATAATGCTGAAGAGCTCATGTTTATTCCTAAACTAGTGTAAAGAAAAAAAAATTCCCAAGTCTTTAGAATATATAAGGAATTTGAGGCGAATGGTTCAGTTTGATGGGATGTTTACTGCCATTTTGGATAGAGAAAATTTATGTTCTTAGGTTTAATATAAATTCTTAGATATATTGAAGTATTCCAGGCTGTATCACATTAGATATAATATTTGGTTAACAATGCTACTTCTATCCATGGTCAAGCAGGAAAGAGGCACCAAAATAAAATAAAGTCATTTTAAAATAGCTAAGATCTCAATATAGCACCAAATAGTGCAAAATTTTGAATCCCCCTCCAAAGGATTTGAAAGAATTTTAGTCAGAACATCACAACTTCAGAGATTTTGCAATTTTTAAAGATTTAGTATGTTTTGATCAATAGAAAAAATGTGAAGTTGGTATCTGGGGAAATTCTGCACTGGGGAAAAGATTTGTCCAAAACTTAAACTGTATAATTATTTGTATGAAGTTAATTCTTCGTACTAGTAAATATTGCAGTGCTCATTGTTACTTCTTGTCATAATCCTCAAAGTTATTTATAATAATACAGTTGTATGTATAAAAGAAAACATTAATCTCTCCTCTGCAATATTTTCATTATATTTTTAAAACTTGAAATCAGATTTGATGTCTTACAACAATGTTTCTGAACTTTAACAACTTTAAGATGTCTGGTCTTCTTAAAGTTGCAAAGGATAAGGAACACTGTCTAAAGCAAATAAAGTTATTTATTTTAGAAGAAACTAACTCTCTGAATATTATTCCTTTCAAGGCCAAAATTGAGCTACCTATATTTAAAGGGAGAAATGTCAATAGACTTACTCCAACTTTTGAAGAAGTTTGAAAACCTATAGGGTTTGGGAGAACAGGGATTTCCAACACATAATAATAAGGATTGAATGTATATGATGACTGGTACAGAGGCGGAACGAATATCATAGGTTAAAGAACCTGACTAGGTAGTTGTATATGGAATAAGAGCCTTTTACATTTTAATTTTAAGTTGTGGGTTCTACTTGGTGTAACCTGCCATTTTGATTACTAAATTCAGTAACTTAACCAGTCATGTTTGCGAGACAAACCTATGTACTATGGAAATATAGAGACATAAAAAACAAAGCTATATAAATCAAAATGACTGTATCCTTCTTTGTTTTTTATGTATGTAAGATCTGTGTAACATAGATACATTTCACTAATTTATAGCTGTGAAGCTGACTGCAGTGACTCAAGCACGCAGTCTGTAAAATGTATTTTTCTTTACTGGCTTAATAGTAGTAGCGAATGCCATATTTGCCATCAATCAGCTGAAAGGGAAAATTATTGAATAAATGTTCATATTGTGTGTGCAGCATTTCACTCTGACTTGCTATTTACTTCAGACTTCATTGATTTTTATTTTATACTAAAGCCATTACATGGGGATCGAGATTAATTAATCTTTCACTGCGTCCTAACTAGTAAGTAATTAGGTCTTATGCAGTCAAGCAATTAATCAATTGGATAATGATGAGTGTTTCATCAGTTTGTTCCACATGCAAATTCTTATTTTAGATTCAGTCAAAAAATAAATTTATTTACTCAAATTTTATAGTTAATTTTAATACATTTGGTGAGTCTAAAGAGTCATGCAATAACGTATATGCCCATTGGGTTTTAAATTCCTATAATAATCTATTGAGGTTGCTGAATGCTGTCTCTGAAAGTTGACAAACATTTAATCTGGTTGAAAAAGGAGCCTCATGACTCAGCATTAGATGCAAAAACCTTCCTTAAATGTAAACAAAGAGCCTTTCTTCCTTTTATTGTTCAAGATGATCCAGTATGTTTTTATCTTGTCACACATGAGAAATGTACTTAAATAAATGTTGGGGAAACTGAAAATAATTGTGAAAATGTTGTGCAATTTTACATAGAGAGTTATCTATGAAATGACAATGTTACAGTTGTCCTTTCGCCTTCCCTTTTATTCTGGAGGTATAAAAGTAATTCATGAGCAAGATGCTCAACGGAGTTGTAAAAAGAAAGAAAAGAAGAAAACTCATGTTTTGAATAAGGATTTTGTTTTGTTTTTTATTTTCCAGCACTGGTTATACAGTAATTGAATCCAATTATGGACATGGAAACAAGTGGAGAGAGACTTTTGTTGATACACCGTGGCCTTGAAGATGCACTACTCAAAGAGAAATAAAATCAGGAAATTAGTTGTTTTGCATGTTTGGAAAAGTGCTGTAATGGCTCACCTGATGTAACTTTATAGTCACAGCAGCTGTAGTAATTTTAAAAGAGAAGTAAGTGTATGCACGTGAGGTTCCCCCCTTTCCCTTCCTTACAGATGGATGAGAGCAAAAACCACAACACTCTTGGTCCACTTTCTCTTTAGTGCTGCACTTCTCAGAGGATCTTGAAAATGCTGTTTTGCATAGAGACCAAACATCACGAGGGACTACTTTTGGACATCACAATCTTGATACATTGGCTGTCGTCACCTCTGGGCCAGGGTTTTTGTTTGTTTGTTTTCAGTTTTGCTAAAGTGGGAATTGCTCAAAGGTTCTCCTTTTCTTCCAGAAAAATGTATGTATGTATTTATTTGCCAATCCTCTTGCCCACACCTTAAAAAGTGATGAACTCTAGCCCCACTTTTAAAAAAAAAGTTTAGCCAAGCCAGCACTGGAATGTTTGAAAGTATCTCAAGGTCACAGAAGAGATTTCTAGGAGACCACTTAAACGAATATTTGTAATGCATGATAGATTGTATGATTTTCTTTCTTGAATTTTTGTTCACTGTTCTCTAAAAACAACTGCATTCTCAATCTATACTGTCATGTGAAAAAGTAAGTACATCCCATGTAAAGTTTTCTCTAAGATATATATATGGAAATATCAATATTTTTCTTATTTAAATAATATATAAAGGTGACTTAAATGAACTTTAAAAAGAAAAAAAATGATTTTGCAACCATTTTTTCACCAGAAAATTAAAAGATGTGCCATTTTCTTCTATGAAAAAGATTACGTACATCTGTGGCTCTAATACTGCACCTGGTAGAGCCCTTTGACAGAAACAACCTCAATTTAACCTTTTTTTAATCAATCATTTACTATTGCCTGACATTGCCTGGGTGTCAGGGTTCCAAATAGCATCCAAAAGTAAATCAGAGTCCAAGACCAATAATTCCTCAAAGTTCCAATTTATTAAGAGAGCCATNGTTTAATTTCAGTTGTCACCAGACAAGCACACTTCAAAATCCAGATCATCGTCACTGTTCCTTCCTGGTTGCAGCATCTTCGTCTATTTCGTCTAAGCTTCATTTCTTTGATAGCTTCAGTACTGGCAGATTGTTATCATGTGACCCTTGTGTTATGGCTAAAGGCAGATTGGAGTATTTAATTTATTTCTTATTTTTAGCAGAGGTGCAAGTGACATTCTTCAGACAGAAGTTACAGACTTTCATGTGATCATTCTGTTCTATCATTGGATTAACAAATGACATTGAGTTCCAAGTTCACCTGAGTCAAGATCTAAGATAAACAGTACATCTTGCATAGCAAATGGGAGGAACCCAGTTGTTTTGATCACCAATCTCATAACCAGAATAAGTTCATATGCTTCCTTAACAAGTACGGTTGTGGTGCATCTTTGAGGCTTAAGCTGTACTTGATACAAATGTAAAACATATCACCACTGTTCCAACATGAGTGAGACATTTCTGCTATCACTAGTTGTCCCATAGCAAGTCTATAACTGGCTTACTTGTTATGTAAATTACATGTGCCTAGACTATCCTATGTATTAAAACAGTTATATCAAAATACATGGAAACTGGTATCAATAAAATGAGCAGCATCTATGCATGCAAGCTTTGCAGGCAGCATCCAGCCACCCTAAGTATGTCTAGGTATGCCCAAACTGTACCTCTTCCAGAAATAGCAATATCACTTGGACTTATATACCACTTCACAGTGCTTTACAGCTCTCTCTAAGCTGTTTTCAGAGTCAGCATATCGCCCCCAACTGTCTGGGTCCTCCTCTTACTGATCTCGGAATAATGGAAGGCTGAGTCAGTCTTGAGATGGTCAGGATCAAACTGTAGTTGGCAGAGTTAGCCTGCAATACTGCATTGTAACTACTGCGCCACCATGGCTCTTTTGGTGCAATGTTATAAATACAGGTGAAACTCGAAAAATTAGAATATTGTGCAAAAGTTCATTTATTTCAGCAATGCAACTTGAAAGGTGAAACTAATATATGAGATAGACTCATTACATGCAAAGCAAGATAGTTCAAGCCTCTAGGTGTCATAATTGTGATGATTGTGGCTTACAGCTCATGAAACCCCCAAATCCACAATCTCAGAAAATTAGAATATTGTGCAAAAGTTCATTTATTTCAGCAATGCAACTTGAAAGGTGAAACTAATATATGAGATAGACTCATT